CCCCCCCCCCGGTCTGGCCCCTGGGGTCTTATAAATAATCCAAAAATGTGTTGCACTTCTCCATACATAAATCTACAATGTCTCAAAGTTTCAAGTACCTTATTCGTCAGAGATGTCATTTAAAGGCATACTGTCAAATTCATCCCTTTTGGCCCCGCCCATCTGTCCCCCCGGGGGTCAGGGACTTTATTTATACAATCTTGAATCCCCTTCCCCTAGAGATGTTCCCTGTTTAATTTAGTTGAAATCTGCCAAATAGTCTAGGAGGAGATATCGTTTAAAGGCATACTGTCCCATTTACCCGTTTTGGCCCTGCCCACCTATCCCCTGGGGAGTCAGGGAATTCATTTGTACAATCTTGAGTCCCCTTCCTCGAAGGATGCTTCCTGCCAAATTTGGTTGAAATCTGCCCAGTAGTTTCAAAAGAACTAGAACTTGCCCTAAAACTTTAACCTGTAGAACTTGCCCAAAAACTTGAACCAATTCCAAAAGACTTGCTGTAACAATATTACAATGTAAAATTAATTAAAAGTTGAGTTAAACACCAAAACACAGCTTGCCCAAAAACTTTAACCAAGTGGGACGGCAACGCTGTGGGTACTGCTATAGCCCCCCTATTTTACGAATAGACGAGCTAATTCTTTTATTCCTATGGTAGAAGAAGGATTTTTAAGGTTTTACCTCTATTTCCCCTATTAGGCCCTGCTTCTCTGACCCCAGGGGACCACACCCACCGTTTATATAAAATTAAGTGCCCTTGGCCCAAGGATGCTCCAGACCAACTTCAGTTAAAATCCACCAAGCCGTTCAGGACTATTAGCGTTTTAAAGGAAAAGTTGACAACGGACGGCGGATGACGGATGCTGCGCTAAGGCATATTAGCTCTGCACTTGCCTTTCGGGCAGGTGAACTAAAAATGAATAAACATACAACCTATCTGATTATTATATTCCCTCAAGATGTTTAGATTTCAGGGGCATTTATGCTACAAAATCTACAAAAAGGAGCAGAGTAATTTTCTTACCATAATGATATCCCGTCTTATGGACTTCATTGGGTTTCCATCCAGGACGATGGATTTCAAAGATACAATTAAACCCAATGTGAAAGGAAGCCTACAAATGTATAAAGAAATCTACATAAAATTCTCACTTAAAGTTGAATAACAGTTGTTATATATTGATGTTTTAAGAAAACACATATTGTCTAAAAAGGTCAAACAAATTTCCTTTTAAAATTAATTTAATTACCAACATTATATTGCAACTATAATCTATAGCAAATTAAAGCCTATCCATAATACATTTCCAATATGTCTTTCATTATAAAAATAAAGTTCTGTCAATCAGATGTGTAAAGTGTATTCATACCCTGAGGGAGGTTTTTGTCAATGAGGTAAAGTTTAACATGTTCAAGAAGGTTGTTATCAGTGAGGTTAAGTTATGCATACCCAGGAAGGTCGATTTTGTTGTCAGTGATATTAAGTTTTATATACCCAGGAAGGTTGTTATCAGTGATGTAAAGTTTTATATACCCAGGAAGGTTGTTATCAGTGAGGTTAAGTTTTACATACCCAGGAAGGTTTTTATCAGAGAGGTTAAGTTTTACATACCCAGGAAGGTTGTTGTTGGTGAGGTTAAGTTTAACATACCTTGGAAGGTTGTTGTCAGTGATGTTAAGTTTTACATACCCAGGAAGGTTGTTGTTGGTGTGGTTAAGTTTTACATACCCAGGGAGGTTGTTGTCAGTGATGTTAAGTTTTACATACCCAGGAAGATTGTTGTCAGTGAGGTTAAGTTTTACATACCCAGGAAGGTTGTTGTTGGTGTGGTTAAGTTTTACATACCCAGGAAGGTTGTTGTCAGTGAGGTTAAGTTTTACATGACCAGGAAGGTTGTTATCAGTGATGTTAAGTTTTATATACCCAGGAAGGTTGTTATCAGTGAGGTTAAGTTTTACATACCCGGGAAGGTTGTTGTCAGTGATGTTAAGTTTTACATACCCAGGAAGGTTGTTGTCAGTGATGTTAAGTTTTACATACCCAGGAAGGTTGTTGTCAGTGAGGTTAAGTTTTACATACCCAGGAAGGTTGTTGTCGGTGAGGTTAAGTTTTACATACCCAGGAAGGTTGTTGTCAGTGAGGTTAAGTTTTACATACCCAGGAAGGTTGTTGTCAGTGATGTTAAGTTTTACATACCCAGGAAGGTTGTTGTCAGTGAGGTTAAGTTTTACATACCCAGGAAGGTTGTTGTCAGTGAGGTTAAGTTTTACATACCCAGGAAGGTTGTTGTCAGTGAGGTTAAGTTTTACATACCCAGGAAGGTTGTTGTCAGTGAGGTTAAGTTTTACATACCCAGGAAGGTTGTTGTCAGTGAGGTTAAGTTTTACATACCCAGGAAGGTTGTTGTCAGTGAGGTTAAGTTTTACATACCCAGGAAGGTTGTTGTCAGTGAGGTTAAGTTTTACATACCCAGGAAGGTTGTTGTTGGTGAGGTTAAGTTTTACATACCCAGGAAGGTTGTTGTCAGTGAGGTTAAGTTTTACATACCCAGGAAGGTTGTTGTCAGTGAGGTTAAGTTTTACATACCCAGGAAGGTTGTTGTCAGTGAGGTTAAGTTTTACATACCCAGGAAGGTTGTTGTCAGTGAGGTTAAGTTTTACATACCCAGGAAGGTTGTTGTCAGTGAGGTTAAGTTTTACATACCCAGGAAGGTTGTTGTCAGTGAGGTTAAGTTTTACATACCCAGGAAGGTTGTTGTTAGTGAGGTTAAGTTTTACATACCCAGGAAGGTTGTTGTCAGTGAGGTTAAGTTTTACATACCCAGGAAGGTTGTTGTCAGTGAGGTTAAGTTTTACATACCCAGGAAGGTTGTTGTCAGTGAGGTTAAGTTTTACATACCCAGGAAGGTTGTTGTCAGTGAGGTTAAGTTTTACATACCCAGGAAGGTTGTTGTCAGTGAGGTTAAGTTTTACATACCCAGGAAGGTTGTTGTCAGTGAGGTTAAGTTTTACATACCCAGGAAGGTTGTTGTCAGTGAGGTTAAGTTTTACATACCCAGGAAGGTTGTTGTTAGTGAGGTTAAGTTTTACATACCCAGGAAGGTTGTTGTCAGTGAGGTTAAGTTTTACATACCCAGGAAGGTTGTTGTCAGTGAGGTTAAGTTTTACATACCCAGGAAGGTTGTTGTCAGTGATGTTAAGTTTTACATACCCAGGAAGGTTGTTGTCAGTGAGGTTAAGTTTTACATACCCAGGAAGGTTGTTGTCAGTGAGGTTAAGTTTTACATACCCAGGAAGGTTGTTGTCAGTGAGGTTAAGTTTTACATACCCAGGAAGGTTGTTGTCAGTGAGGTTAAGTTTTACATACCCAGGAAGGTTGTTGTCAGTGAGGTTAAGTTTTACATACCCAGGAAGGTTGTTGTCAGTGAGGTTAAGTTTTACATACCCAGGAAGGTTGTTGTCAGTGAGGTTAAGTTTTACATACCCAGGAAGGTTGTTGTTGGTGAGGTTAAGTTTTACATACCCAGGAAGGTTGTTGTTGGTGAGGTTAAGTTTTACATACCCAGGAAGGTTGTTGTCAGTGAGGTTAAGTTTTACATACCCAGGAAGGTTGTTGTCAGTGAGGTTAAGTTTTACATACCCAGGAAGGTTGTTGTCAGTGAGGTTAAGTTTTACATACCCAGGAAGGTTGTTGTCAGTGAGGTTAAGTTTTACATACCCAGGAAGGTTGTTGTCAGTGAGGTTAAGTTTTACATACCCAGGAAGGTTGTTGTCAGTGAGGTTAAGTTTTACATACCCAGGAAGGTTGTTGTCAGTGAGGTTAAGTTTTACATACCCAGGAAGGTTGTTGTTGGTGAGGTTAAGTTTTACATACCCAGGAAGGTTGTTGTCAGTGAGGTTAAGTTTTACATACCCAGGAAGGTTGTTGTCAGTGAGGTTAAGTTTTACATACCCAGGAAGGTTGTTGTCAGTGAGGTTAAGTTTTACATACCCAGGAAGGTTGTTGTCAGTGAGGTTAAGTTTTACATACCCAGGAAGGTTGTTGTCAGTGAGGTTAAGTTTTACATACCCAGGAAGGTTGTTGTCAGTGAGGTTAAGTTTTACATACCCAGGAAGGTTGTTGTCAGTGAGGTTAAGTTTTACATACCCAGGAAGGTTGTTGTCAGTGAGGTTAAGTTTTACATACCCAGGAAGGTTGTTGTCAGTGAGGTTAAGTTTTACATACCCAGGAAGGTTGTTGTCAGTGAGGTTAAGTTTTACATACCCAGGAAGGTTGTTGTCAGTGAGGTTAAGTTTTACATACCCAGGAAGGTTGTTGTCAGTGATGTTAAGTTTTACATACCCAGGAAGGTTGTTGTCAGTGAGGTTAAGTTTTACATACCCAGGAAGGTTGTTGTCAGTGAGGTTAAGTTTTACATACCCAGGAAGGTTGTTGTCAGTGAGGTTAAGTTTTACATACCCAGGAAGGTTGTTGTCAGTGAGGTTAAGTTTTACATACCCAGGAAGGTTGTTGTCAGTGAGGTTAAGTTTTACATACCCAGGAAGGTTGTTGTCAGTGAGGTTAAGTTTTACATACCCAGGAAGGTTGTTGTCAGTGAGGTTAAGTTTTACATACCCAGGAAGGTTGTTGTTGGTGAGGTTAAGTTTTACATACCCAGGAAGGTTGTTGTCAGTGAGGTTAAGTTTTACATACCCAGGAAGGTTGTTGTCAGTGAGGTTAAGTTTTACATACCCAGGAAGGTTGTTGTCAGTGAGGTTAAGTTTTACATACCCAGGAAGGTTGTTGTCAGTGAGGTTAAGTTTTACATACCCAGGAAGGTTGTTGTCAGTGAGGTTAAGTTTTACATACCCAGGAAGGTTGTTGTCAGTGAGGTTAAGTTTTACATACCCAGGAAGGTTGTTGTCAGTGAGGTTAAGTTTTACATACCCAGGAAGGTTGTTGTTGGTGAGGTTAAGTTTTACATACCCAGGAAGGTTGTTGTCAGTGAGGTTAAGTTTTACATACCCAGGAAGGTTGTTGTCAGTGAGGTTAAGTTTTACATACCCAGGAAGGTTGTTGTCAGTGAGGTTAAGTTTTACATACCCAGGAAGGTTGTTGTCAGTGAGGTTAAGTTTTACATACCCAGGAAGGTTGTTGTCAGTGATGTTAAGTTTTACATACCCAGGAAGGTTGTTGTCAGTGATGTTAAGTTTATATACCCAGGAAGGTTGTTATCAGTGATGTTTAGTTTTACATACCCAGGAAGGTTGTTGTCAGTGATGTTAAGTTTTACATACCCAGGAAGGTTGTTGTCAGTGATGTTAAGTTTTATATACCCAGGAAGGTTGTTGTCAATGAGGTTATCTTTTACATACCCAGGAAGGTTGTTGTCAGTGATGTTAAGTTATGCATACCCAGGAAGGTTGTTATTAGTGAGGTTAAGTTTTACATACCTAGGAAGGTTGTTGTTGGTGAGGTTAAGGTATACATACCCAGGAAGGTTGTTGTTGGTGAGGTTAAGGTATACATACCCAGGAAGGTTGTTATTGGAGAGGTTAAGTTTTACATACCCAGGAAGGTTGTTATTAGTGAGGTTAAGTTTTACATACCCAGGAAGGTTGTTATCAGTGAGGTTAAGTTTTACATACCCAATAAGGTTGTTATTGGAGAGATCTAGTCTCTCTAGCCCTTCTAGAAGAGTGATTGCTTCTGGGAGTACAGTCAGTTGGTTGTCGCGTAGATCTAACACTGTCACAGACTTGAGGCATTCTAGGTGGGCCATTGTTATTTGTTGGATACGGTTGTTACCAAGATGCAACTCCTATAAAAGAAAATATACTTGTTATAAGGTCCTTCGCGTGTGAATTCAAATATTTATTTGTGCATCATTGACTGATTTAGAGGAATTGAGATCCAGGGGTCTTAAATACACCTCTCCAGTCATAGTTTAATTCATTATTTTTAAATAGATTACATCTGTTGGGATATTTGATTGTCACCTTACAAAACCCTGGACTTGCCTGTGTATCAGATAAAGACAACATCACAGTCTGTTATCAATGCCACATCGTGAAATTAAAACTATTTTGGTTGAAAGGTAGATATAAAAGTATTTACTCAACCTAATTATGTAGTAGTATAGTAACAAAGTTTTGTAAAAATGCTTGGAATGCACAGACACATGGATGGACGGACAGATGGACAGATGCATATAGCTGAATTTTGTATCCTTCAAAGCTGTTTCACAGTGGCAAAAATTGTAAGCCAAAAACAGAATTAGAAACTAGTTGTCAAGGGTACCCAAAATATAAAATAATGTGAATAGTTCATTATTATTTCGTTCATTATAGTCTTATCAGCAGATACAAATTTTATTTCATAAATGCATCTTGTGAACATAATAAAAAGATCAAATTTCATACCCTGTCAGTTAAAATGAAACATGTAACGGGATATTGAAATATATTCTCTTCCTTTGTTTTTCTTCCTTTGTTGATATGATTGATGACAGACAGTTCTCTTTTGATAGGTACCCTGTTACACATTTTCAGACCTAGGTTTAAATAAACAGTGAACTGTGTTTGGGTACTCATAACAACCCTACTAGAAACTGAACAAGAGGCGCAATGGGCCTGCATCGCTCACCTGGTATTAATATCACACTTGTAATCTTAAAAGTGGACTAAAATACAGCTACAGGCAGAATATCAGTTGTTTGATTCATAAGAACCTATTAAAAGATTTAAACATGACGCCTGTGACCTTGAATGTTGGACAAGGACATTAGGTTGAAAGTGGGTCAAGGTCATTCATTTGAACAAACTTGGTAGTCCTTCATCCCAGCATGCTACAGGCCCAATTTCATTACATTGGGCCTTTTGGTTATACGACATTTGACCTGTGACCTTGAAAGTGGGTCAAGGTCATTCGTTTAAACAAACTTGGTAGCCCTTCATCCCAGCATGCTACAGGCACAATATCAGTACCCTGTGCCTTTCGGTTATTGAGAAAAAGTTGTATAAGGATTTTAAGACAGTTGACCCCTGTGACCTTGAAAGTTGGTCAAGATCATTAATTTTAACAAACTTGGTAGTCCTTCATCCCAGCATGCTACAGGCCAAATTTCAGTACCCTGGGCCTCTTGGTTATTCAGAAGTTGATTGAAGATTTTAACATATTTGACCTCTGTGACCTTGAAAGTGGGTCAAGGTCATTCATTTGAACAAACTTGTTAGCCCTTCATCCCAGCATGCTACTGGCCAAATATCATCAGCCTGGGCCTCTTGGTTATTCAGAAGAAGTTGTTTGAAGATTTTAACAATTTGACCCCTGTGACCTTGAATATAAGTCAAGGTCATTCATTTGAACAAACTTGGTATGCCTTCATCCCAGCATGCTACTGGCCAAATATCATTATCCTAAGCCTCTTGGTTATTCAGAAGAAGTTGTTTACAGACAATTGACCCCTGTGACCTTGAAAATGGACGAAGGTCATTCATTTGAACAAACTTAGTAGCCCTTAATCACAGCATGCTACTGGCCAAATATCGTAACCCTATGCCTCTTAGTTATTCAAAAGAAGTTGTTTAAAGGTTTTTAACATATTTGACCCCTGTGACCTTGAATATGAGTCAAGGTCATTCATTTGAACAAACTTGGTATACCTTCATCCCAGCATGCTTCTGGCCAAATATCATTATCCTAAGCCTCTTGGTTTTTCAGAAGAAGTTGTTTAAAGGTTTTAAACATATTTGACCCCTGTGACCTTGAATATAAGTCAAGGTCATTCATT